GGGGCTAGACTCCCACACAGTCAACCACAGTTTGAGTCCTGGACCTGGTGGTTTGCTTTCTCACTTTCTGTCTCTCTCGCTCTCTTTTGTTCTGTCCCTCCCTGATCAAATTAAAATAAATTAAATTAAATACTTCTTAAAAAAAAAAAAGAAAAAGAAAAAAGGTGAGCTTGAAGTCTACATTTCTGACAAGCACATCCAAGTAATTCTTTCTTTCTATCTTTCTTTTAGGTTTTTGCTATAGGACCCATGCACTCACTGGAGAAAGACAGAGAGGGAAAGTGGGAAATCACCCACCAGTGAGGATGACCACTCCACAAACCCTTCTCCTCCATTCTCCTCTCAGGATTTTGGGCATGCACCACACACACATCCCATGTGATTTTCAAGCTGCTGGGTCCGGGACTCGAACCACACAGTTGGCCACTTGGGAGTCCTGTGCCTTAACCACCATGCCACCTGCTGGTCCCACCCAAGTGATTCTTAAACACACTAAAACTTGAAAACCACTGCCATAATAATTTTCTTTGATCAATAACCATGATTTCAAACACTGTTGCCAAAATCTACCTGGGAAATCTGAGCCACATCGAATTCAGTTAGAATTGAGAAAGCAGCTCTTGAGTCTGTACTTAACAGTCAACACTTCATTACTCACACTTATAAAAATACTTCTTGTGGTACCAACCTCTTTTTATTCAATGGGTTTCAAACTTTCACACAAAATGAAGTTACAAGCTGGCTCTCACTAAACAAACTGATACATAATTTATGGTTTAACTTTAACAAGGGAAGTTAATGGTTATATTATCTGCTAGCTATCAAGGAGGAAAGCATAGATAAACTCACAGACTAGTATAAATACATCATGATTTTAAATGCATGCAAGTCAACCTCAGAGGCCTATGCTTAAAGACTACACTACTCAAATACCAAAGAAAGAAACAACCAACAAACCACAAAAACACACACAGCCCCCTATCCATATTCACTGCACGCTAAAACGCTCCCGACAGCATCTCTCATGAATTCAATCGACAGCCCTGGCAACTACTTCAATCTTAGGAAAGTTAACTTGAAGTCAATTACTTTGCCTATTACATAATTGGTGCAAAAACATTTATTTATTTATTTATTTCCTATTTGCTGACCGTATCCTTTACTCAGTAGCCTCTAGGTACACAGACATCAAGGGAAGACATGCTGTATGGGTTACACGGGGACAAATTACAAGGTGGAGACTAACACTGCTAGTCAAGAAAACTTTCCACCTGCAGTAAAATTTGGAGCCCAGAGGGCTCATTCTGACTGCAGTACCAAGCCCTGCAATATGACTCTTTTCCAATCCAGTTAGAATCTAGTCAGTTTTGAAAGGAGAAAGGACAAACTGAATCACATCGGCTTGGATTATTAGTTCCAAGATTCAATGAGGACAGTGCCTTGGTAAACAGACTTCAAAAAACAAAACACAAAGAAACTGATGCTCTTACTTGTCTCCAAGCTTGTATCCCTTAAATCTTAAAGTTACTCTGTTCTGGGACCAGCAGTTGGCGTAATGGCTATGTTGCTGACTCCCAGGTAGTTGACCACAGTTCAAGTACCAGACCCAGACCCGGTGGCTTAAACTCACGCAGGGCGCATGTGCGTGCATGCCCAAGATATCGAGGAGAATGGAGAAGGGATTTCTGCGTGGCCATCCCCACTGGGGGGTTTCTCACTCTCTCTCTCTCTCTGTCTTTCTGGCAAGCACATGTGCCCTATAGCAAAAAACTCTCCAAAAAATTATTCTGTTCTTTCACACCTCTTTTAGTTGTCAAATAACTGCAACAGATGAAAACTGGAATAAACACAAATTGTGTGTGTTGGGGGGGGGTCTAAAATAGAGTTTTAAACAACAACTGCAAAGGTCCAGATACCCACAGATGACTTGCTGTGAACAACCTCTACACGGTAACAATCTACCCATACCTAACTCTGATCCCACTTGGCACATCAACATGCAAATCTTTCCTAGAACAACAAAGAGGTTAACTTAAAGAATTTAGGTGAAAGATTAAAAAGCTGTATGAAGTGTTGCCTAAAGAATGCTTTAGGAGAGCAAAGGAGAAGGGATTGCAGAGAGAATACCCTTCCCCAGAAGGTGGTTTGTTACTCCCAGCCCCCGACCACAGCCCAGCTCACAAACCCTGCAGGGAAAAAAAAAAATAGCATTAACCTAACCCAGATCAAAACAAGTAGCCAGCACAGGCACAGAGATCCCTCAAGGATCGTATCTATTCCGGTCACTGACTTCCTCTCACCTGCAAACCTAAAAAGAGATTTTAGAAGGAAGGAAGAAGGAAAGAGAAAGAAGCTATGTAGCTGAGGTCTCAAGAGAATGTACCAACTAGCTCGGCTCTGTGTTGCAACTATCACTACTTCCACTACAGAACTAAAGAAGTTTCAAAGAATCTGAAAATCGTGTACAGTTCAAAGGGTGAGGAATCAATGCCAGAAAGATTTCTGATAACCACAACCTTCCAGAGAAAGGTCTTCAGAGGAAAGGGTGTTCTTTTCCCCTAAAAGAAACTATGTTCTCTACTCACTACCAAGAATAGGCCAAAAGTAACATCCTTCCCAAGTTCCGAGCCCAGAACCTGGGCCTGAGGCAAGTCCTTCTACCTATGTATGTGCAATGGCAGATTGCATTAGCTCTAGCCGCCTACAGAATTATGTTCATTCATTTAGACTCTGTAAAAGTAAATGATTTAGAACTTTATGATAGGTATATAATTTTCAATACTTCCATTTTAAATTTTAAAATAAACAGCTGGGTCCAAGTTAACTTCCAAAAGGAGAGGCAAATGACAACCCCAACAGCTTCTATCAGAAAGGAAGCATCAGCTACATATTTTGAGTTATCTAGAAAGAAAATAAATAGGTACCCAGGTACAATAAATCAAAAGGTCATTATTGAATTCTATTTCTGAATTCTCTACTCGTCAAAAAATTAAGAATCTTGCCAGAGAATACTAGAAAACAGTCTACAGGACATCCGTGAAAAAGAAAAGCATCTATTTAGAAAAGACGGAGGAAAGGTTTATCTCAAAACCCTGGCTTTGGTAAGCTAGTCTTTCTTGAAGTAGAAAGGATGAGAAAACAAAATGAGTGGATATCACAGAATAAAAATGTCAAAGGGGCCCAGTCATTGTGGTGGGAACGCAGTGCCTGCAAGGCTGGAAACCACATGGCCCACAGTGCGTTTGGATCCCCAGGTCAGCCTGAAAAGACAAAAGTGCTCCCACAGGTGCCCAGGATCCTGAGGAGCTGGAAGGCTGGGAAAAGGGGGGTCACCAAACCCTGTGGAGGGTGCTTCTCTCTCTCTGTTTCTCTCTCTCTCTCTCTGTCTGTCTCTGACACTATCAAAATAAATAAATTAAAAAAAAAAAAAAAGAATGTCAAAGATAAGGGCAGGGGTACAAGACAAATAAGGGATGGACACCTCTATAGGCCAAACTTTCAAGATACCACCCTCTTTGCAAACCTTGGGCAAATCTACTGTTTTACAAGCAGAAAAACTAAAAGCTGTGGAAATAGCAATGAAAAAATGTATAAAAAATACGGAAGACTACATGAAGGCAAATCCCGACATGGAAGGAAAGTGCACAAGTATGGGAACAGCACACACAATACAGATTCAGTAAGGAGAGAAATACAGAGCAGAAGACTGCTGAGGAGGATGCAGGCGAGGAAAGCATACACCACCTACAAGGTAATCAGCAGTCACTACGCGAATCTTAATACAAAGTAAAAACACAAATGTAGGACCTAGATTAGGGGAGTAGAGGAGCTTGCTACAGAAATTTCAAGACAAGACAGCACCCTGGGAGAGCTTTAGGGGATGGAGTGGAGAACTAAGGCCCAAGGACTAAGGGGGAGGGGCTGCAGCAGAGGAAGGGGGTGGGTTGCAGCAGCAGGGGCCTTAAAAACAGAAGCACGAGAAAGAACCTAGAGGAGAGAGAAAAACAGGATAAAAGTGTGGTATCACAAGAGGACAGAGTAGGAGAGAGAATGAAGGCCAGCACGTCCTAAAAAAAGTAGAGAGATTAAAAACGCAAGAGAGGGGCTGCAGTTTGGGAAAAGTAGGAGCTGCGACTGAGATCCACCATGAACCAGACTAAGGGAAGTGTGTGTACGGTGCAGGAGTGAAGATGGGGCCAGGAGAGGGGTGCAACCTCAGGGACGGGGTGGTGGAGACCCTAGACAATCAAGAGTGTAATCCGGGGACTAACAAGAAAAGAAACTAGTGCCAACCCCCCCCACACCCACCAAGTCCAACAAAAGGCATGCGAGGGGTCAGAGGAGAAGGTATACCCTTGGAGTGCGAGTACAAAAAACGAGGGTGTGGAAAGGGACACACGGTGGGGTGGAAAATACGAACACAGGAGGTGCTTAATCACAAGGAGAGGGTAACTAAGGAGAGGAAAGGAGTGGCAGGGAGGGATGATGTTTCCGGAGGAAAAGTGGGAGCAGACCAGAGGTCCCGCTTACTTGGTCTAGAGGGCAGAAGGGACAGTCCACAGGGCCCGAGGGGAGTGGTGGACAAGAAACTATGATGCTGAAGATGAGAACTTGGGGAGGACACGACACCGGCTGGGTCAGAAAAGGAGACGCCGTCAGTAAGGAGCAGAGGCTGGTTTAGAGGAAGGCAAGGGGAGCAGAAGCAGCATGCCAAAGGGGGAAGGCAGGGGCAAAAAAGGAGCCAGAGGAATGGGGGCAGGTGAAGCGCTGGGGGCGCAAGGACATACCCTGGAGTCCACGGGGAGGGAGGTGGGAGTCGCAGGAACCCGCGGTGTGGGAGGAAAAGGGTCAACCCACGAGGTGCGGGCGGCGGCCGGGAGCAGGCCGGGTCCCGGGTCGGCCCTGGCTAGGGGAGGTGCCCGAGGGTGACAGGGGTAGAGGAGGTGCAGGACAGGCGGGGGCACGGGGAGGGTGGGGCGGCGTGGCGCCCCGATACTCACACCTCCAGGATGCGGTCCCCCTTGCGCACCCCGGCCCGATCGGCCGCCCCCCCGGGCAGCACGGCGCTCACATGCTGCAGCGGCGCGTACAGCTCCCCGTTGATGCTCCGCAGTTGCCCGCCCTCGCTCACTTGGCCCCGCACGTTGAAGCCGTAGCCGGACTCGGACTTGACGCACGGCACGGCCCGCGCGCCGCC